CGTGGAAGAAGACGACATGTCAAGATTGGAGGCTATCCTCACTCACAGACGGGCGGAGTATAGGGAACCGCTGGGGATGAAAAGCTCAATGGAGGAGGCGGGAGGCCATTGCGGCGATCTGCGCTCGGTTCCGATCACCGCGCAAAGAAGGCAACGGCCCAGCTTACAAGCGGAGTATGCAAACCTCAAGTTCAAGGATGGTGAAACAATGGAGGACTTTGCCCTCCGCCTGCAGACGCTCATCAGCAAGCTAAAGAGCCATGGCATCACCATCGACGAAGAGGAGGCGGTCTTCAAATTCCTCCACTCCGTCGGCAGCAAAGTATATCCGTGATCGCTTCTCCATAGAGACGATGCCGGACTTGTCCACCCTCACCATCGAGGATGTGGCAGCCATCCGTAAGGCGATGGACGAGCGCCGGAGCAAAGCGACAAAGAACGGCGACAATGGAAACTCCTGCCGACGGAAGAGGTGGGCTGCTCGGCGAAACTCGAAGGCAGCCTCCTCCAACAAGCGGTGGCAACGGCAAACATCAGCAAGGGGCTTCTTCTTCGAGAAGAAGCAAATCGACTCAACGCCTATCGGTGTTGCAGAAGATGGGCCATTGGGCACGAGAGTGCCCAAATCGCAAGAAGGAAAAGAAGGCTCGAGCTCACCGGCGAAAAGCCGATGATGAGGATGAGGCCACTATCTTATGGCGACGCTCGCGGCAATCGCATTTGACGCCGAGGCCATGGAGAGGGAAGAGGCGACAACGGTGGAAGGATCCAGCAAGGCCCTGAAGACCATCAACCTCGACGAACCACGCGCCCAAGTCCATCTCGGGCGTGTGGGTGCCGACCAGGAGCAGCCGTGGTATCTGGACTCTGGTGCCAATAACCACATGACGGGCTCCAAGGACTCCTTCTCTGAGCTCGATGGCGATGTTACCGGTACGGTGAAGTTTGGTGATGGCTCAAGGGTGGCTATCCAAGGGCGCGGCACCATCATCTTCAGATGCCAGAACGGGGAGCACCGCGCGCTAACGGATGTATACTACATCCCGCAGCTGCGTTCCAGCATCATCAGCATTGGTCAGCTGGATGAGCGCGGTAGCGAGGTTCTAATCAAGGCCAGCGTTCTGAGGATCAGAGAATGGGAGCAGCGACTTCTCGCCAAGGTGAAGAGGTCCCTGAACCGGTTGTACCTGCTCGACCTGAAGGTAGAGCAGTCGGTTTGCCTGGCGGCAAGGCACTCCAAGGAACCGTGGATATGGCATGCCCGGTTCGGACATCTCAGCTTCGACGCGCTTGGTCGGCTGGGGAAGATGGTCCGAGGGCTACCCCACATCAAACACGGAGGCGAGCTGTGTGACAGTTGCCTGGCTGGGAAGCAGAGGAGGCTACCGTTCCCAAAGGTGGCCAAGTCTCGCGCGAAGGAAGCTCTCGAGCTAGTTCGCGGCGACCTCTGTGGGCCGATCGCGCCTGCTACATGCGGTGGTCAGTGGTACTTCCTCCTACTCGTGGACGATTACAGTTGCTACATGTGGCTACAACTCCTGATGAGCAAGGATGAAGCGGCGGTGGCGATCAAGAAGTTCAAGACGCGCGCGGAGGCCGAGAGCGGCAAGAAGCTTCGCATACTGAGGACTGATCGGGGTGGTGAATTCACTTCGGTGGAGTTTGCTACGTACTACGAGGATCAGGGTGTGGGACAACATCACACCGCGCCGTATTCGCCACAATAGAATGGCGTGGTGGAGCGACGGAACTAGACAGTGGTCGGCATGGCCCGATCCATGATGAAGGCCAAAGGAATGTCGGCAAAGTTCTGGGGAGAGGTGATGACCACGGCGTTGTTCATCCTCAACCGCGCTCCAACCAAGGCCCTAAAGGGCAAGACGTCGTTCGAAGCTTGGTACGGGAGCAAGCCGGACGTGTCATTCCTCCGAACATTCGGTTGCATCGGCCACGTCAGGAAGACAAAGCCGAACCTCACCAAGCTGGAGGACAGGAGCACACCCATGGTGTTCCTGAGCTACGCGGAGGGTACCAAGGCGTACCGGCTCTATGACCCACGCGGAGACAAGGTGACTGTCTCGCGCGACGTTGTGTTCAACGAGAAGGCGGCTTGGGACTGGAACAGTCCGATCACGGGGGAAGCAGGAGGCTTCCCCAACACCTTCGTCGTCGAGCACTTGGTCATCCACGGTGGTGGAAACGCTGCGGAACAGGAGCCACACACTCCGGGAGGAGCACCGTGCACTCCGGCGGTAGAGTCGAGCACTTCTGGGGCAGTGCCGAGCACACTAGGAGTGGAGCCAGGAGGTTCTGCTGTGGTGGCGACCACTTCAGGACGGGTGCCAAGCACTCCTGTGGCGGAGCCAAGACGTCTTACTGTGGTCCCAACCACTCCAAGACTAAGGCTAGGTACTCCTACAGTGTGGCCGAACACTGCAGGAGTTATGACGAGCAGTCCAGAAGCAGTCCGGCGGAAGAAGGAACTCCATCACCCCCGATCGAGTTCGCCAAACCTCCAAGTGACATCACTGAGTTCGTGGACGCCTACCACGAAGGTGAGGAGTTGAGGTTCCACAGGCTGGACGACATCGTCGGTGGCACAGGTCCCTCAGGTCTGGCGGGTAGGCTGCTCAACGATGCAGAGCTGCTACTCGTCAGTGCAGAGGAACCACCCACGTTCGCGCTAGCCGAGCGTGATGGAAACTGGTGACGGGCGATGCTGGAGGAAATGAAGGCGATCGAGGAAAACGAGACTTGGCAGCTCGTCGATCCACCTCCAGGATGCCGTCCGATCAGCCTGAAGTGGGTGTACAAAGTCAAAAGGGACGAGCTCGGTGCCATTGTCAAGTACAAGGCGCGCCTCGTCGCCCGAGGCTTTGTCCAGCGCGAGGGCATCGACTTCGAGGAGGTCTTTGCGCCAGTAGCGTGCATGGAGTCAGTCTGTTTGCTACTTGCTTTGGCGGCAGCAAAGGACTGGCGCGTCCATCACTTGGATGTTAAATCGGCCTTCCTCAACGGTGAGCTGGCGGAAACGGTCTTCGTTAGGCAACCTCTAGGGTTCGCTGTCAAGGGAGAGGAGCACAGGGTGCTCTGACTACGCAAAGTGCTCTACGGGCTGCGGCAAGCCCCTCGAGCATGGAACACCAAGCTTGACACCATGCTGGGCAAGCTTGGGTTTCAGAGGTGCACAACCGAGCACGCGCTCTACACGCGACGACGGGGGAAGGAAGAGCTCGTGGTCGGTGTGTATATGGATGACTTAATCGTCATCGGCACGCGCACGGAGGATATCAACAGATTCAAGCGAGAGATGGCAGCTTGTTTCCGAATGAGCGATCTCGGCACTCTCTCCTACTACCTCGGCATCGAGGTGAGACAGGGGAAGGAGGAACTCACGCTCGGGCAAAGCGCGTATGCCTCTAAGCTGTTGGAGAGGAGCAGCATGGTGGAGTGCAAGCCATGCGTGACTCCGATGGAGAAGCGGCTGAAGCTGACGAAGGACAGCACCGCAGCGAAAGTGGATGCAACACTCTACCGGAGCATCGTCGGCGGTCTTCGCTATCTAGTCCACACGAGGCCGGACATTGCGTTCGCCGTGGACTACGTCAGTTGCTTCATGGAGGATCCCAGAGAGGATCACTGGGCTGTGGAGAAACGGCTGGTACGCTACGTCAAGGGGATGGTGAATCATGGAATCATCTTCCCGAAGATCGGGGGAAGTAGGCTGTGGCTCACGGCGTTCAGCGATGCAGACATGGCGGGGGACATCGACGGATGACGGAGCACCTCTGGCATACTCGTCTTCCTCGGGTCAGCCCCAATTTCATGGCTGTCGCTGAAACAGAAGGTGGTAGCGCTATCTATGTGCGAGGCAGAGTACGTAGCGGCGGCCACAGCGGCATGCCAAGTTGTGTGGCTACGCCGGCTGCTGGGCGAGCTAACCGGCGTGGAAGCTCACCCACCAGCACTGATGGTGGACAACCAGCCCGCCATCGCCCTCGCAAAGAATCCGATTCTGCACGACCGGAGTAAACACATCGACATGAAGTTCCACTTCCTCAGGGACTGTCTTGATGGAGGGCAGATAGTCATCGAGTTTGTCGAAACTGGTCGGCAACTCGCGGACGTCATCACCAAGCAGCTCGGACGACTTCGACTCACGGAGCTGAAGGAGATGATCGGCATGAAGGGGGTGCAAGGGTTAGTAGTAGGATTAGGGGAAGATTGTTAGCTAATCTACTGCCACCTTGTGTGAACACAGCAGAGGAAGGCGGCGCCGACTTTGCCCCCTGCTGTGATACTATAGCCGCTGCTGGTGCAGGTGCCGCACAGCTCACCTGCAGCACTGTAGGCACATGCAGCGGCCAGCGCAGAGTCAGCCCTGTATGCTTATCTAGTTACTATTACAGCATGTGCGTTGTACTTTAGTTAGATAGATAGAGTTGTATAAATAGGGCACCAAGGCAACTCAGTAAAGAGAGCTCAGATTTGTCATCACACAGACAGGGCCTCGGCCAACGTTGTTGTCTTGTATTGTGCGTGCTTGCTCTGTTCTCCCTTCTTCTTCTAGCTCGATCCGTTGTGTGTGGGGACGGACAAAGCCGGTACGGTGGTCGGCACGGTTAGTGGTCTGGAGGCTGAAGACTAGTGGTCTGGGAGGCCGGGGGTCTGAAGACTAGTGGTCTGGAGGCTAGAGACTAGTGGTCTGGAAGGCCAGGGCTGCGAGGCTAGTGGAGGCTATCTAGTTCACTGTCGTCAGACGATGATCCCGTAGGTTAACAGAACTTCCTTCAGCTGAATGCAAGATTCCATCAGTGATACATAGCAGCCTTGTAGCACTTTGGTGCCACCCATGGAAAGGGACATAAGATGGTTAATCACAGTTGATAATGTTAGCACTGCATCAAGGAAACAAACAATTAAAAGATGACCCATGTTCATAGGATGTCAGAGAGAGAAAGTATCAACAGCGTTGCAGTGATCTGTACATAGCCACTTACCAGCTAACTTGATCTCGGATTCAGATGACAGGCCAGGATTGAATGAGCTGCTTGAGACTTGTGCCAATGCAGATGTCCAGATTGCAAAACCATTACCATCAAATTTGTTCAAGACTTGTTCAATGGCATCTGGATAGCAAATGTAGCATGAAGATATTGCTAACAATAGTGGTTTCCATAGCCCAGCAGGACTGTCAGATATAGACTTGAAGCGGGAAAATGCTGCTTGTGCAAAGGATTCAGCAATAGTTTTTCTAGCATCTTGTGTTCCAAGGGAGAAATTTGGAGCGTGCAGTAGTGTATGGATGCATGAGCATGCCCTCCATGTTGCAGATGGGTAAGCTGCAATTGCCTTAGTCACAAAAGTAGAAACCCGAACAATGACTGAACTCTGTGAACCATTTTCAGACTGCGATGGAAGCATTTTCCGGAAGAAACCATCAAGGTCAAATCTTTGGTGGAAATTGACAGCTTCTTTAATTGCGTTGAAAACCCCCTGATCCTCAATCTCCTCCGAGGAGTCCCAGTTAGCAATAATGTCAGCCCATATAGCTACCAGCTCAAAGACCTTCATACTTGCAGTTTCTTCCGTGCAAGTAACAGAACTCATGACAAACTCAAGTAACACAGAAGCATCATTTACACATGACGGAGGTGGCAATGCAGAACCAATGTTCTCCTGAAATGAATGTTGAAAATGGTCAAGCAAATTTCACTGCATAAATTTCAAATTTTTGGAAATTCAAACATAGTTTTTCATTGACAAGATGATTTCAAATAAAAAAGTTGTTAACTACAATGTTTCGTAACTTTTTGGGATCTACAACTTTTATTTTGGTAGTTTCTCCATCCGAGATCATTTACAAAATTTGAATTTTAAATTTTAGAAATTCAAACATAGTTTTCGTTTACAAGATGATTTCAAATAAAAAAGTTATCAACTACAAAGTTTCGTAACCTTCCATCAGATTTTCAGTTAATAGATTAAAATCTTGATTGTTTGTCTCTCATATTTTATTAACATATTAACCTTCCATCATATTTTCAATTAATAGATTAACCACCATGGACCTGTTGGGTATTACATACTCACTTCGCCTCATAGTAAACACACATCTCATTTTATAAGAAGCGAAATCTTTTAAAGTCTGGCCAAATATATATAAAAATATATTAGTGACCATGATGATAAGTGTTATTAGATTCAGCATAGAATTTACTTCTACAACAAAATTATTTATAGATACAGATGCAACTATTATTTTGTATATGTTTAGTCAAACTTAAAAAAAACTTGACTTCTAGAGAGATGGAACATGCGTTTATTTTGGGATAGAGGGAGTATACTATAATTTATACCAAGTGAATGGGATTAGTAGGACTCATCTGATATTTTATTAATACATATATCTTGTCTTATTAATATATAGATATTCTATTAACTAATTTATTGCCAAGTGACGTGATTAATAAGATCCAACTCATCTAAAATTTTATTAATTAATTGTGAATGCCGATAATGTGATATTTTTAATACACATATTTTGTTTTACTAATATATATACTTTTATTGTCTAACTATGAACGTCAGTATTGCAGATATGATATTTTAATAATGCATTATCAAGTGACGTGAATAATAGGACTCGTCCCATACTTCATACTAACTGTGAACTTTTTTTTTTGGAAAGGAAATAACTGTGAACGTTAGTACTCCGATCAAGATTTTCTCCAATGCATCAAAGTGCCGTGATTAATAAGATCCAAGTCTTCTGCTACATTTATTAACTAACTGTGAATGCCAATAGTGTTATATTTTTAATACATATATTTTGTTTTATTAGTATATATTTTATTAACTAGCAATGAACGTCAATATTGCTGATATGATATTTTAATAATGCATTACCAAGTGACGTGAATAAAAGGACTCGTCCGATGTTTTTATAATAATAACTAACTATCAACGCTAGTACTACATCAAGATTTTCTCCAACACGTCAATGTTTTTTCTCCTAAAAAACGTCAAGATTTTCTCTAGCACGTCATAGTTTTTTCTCCTAAAAAACAAATTTTATCTATAATGGCAGAGGTGGGTAATTTCCTAGAGAACAAAATAGATCCAATGATGATAGATGGCTAGAGTTTTTGATTGGGTGGATTCATGTGAGAATTTCTAGAATTTATCTATTTTTCTAGCGCATCTAGTAGGGATTAACGCGGAGGCTTCATTGTGTCCAGGGGTACTCCGACCTAAGTAGCTTAGTACATACGGAGGTATGTATACGTGGTATTCGTCCACACTAATCGTTGACATAATTATTTCCTGGCCCCTCTGCATGCGTAGGATGATATTTATTTAGAAACAAATGCGGTGACATCGTCGCCGCCGTGCTGGAACTTGGAGACGGCGCAGTCGGTGGAGAAGAGGCCCGACGAGAGGTACTTGTGCGTGCCGCCCATGACGGGCATCTTGGCGCCGATGTCCAGCCTGCTCACGTAGCTAGGGCTATACGTCTGCCCGAGCACGCCGTCGACGTCCGCAGTGAGGTTATGGAACCGGAAGCCGAGGTCGAGGTGCACGAGGCTGTGGCTGCCGGGAATGGTGATGCCCAGCGCCTGCACCCACGTGAAGTCGCGCCTCAGCTCAGGGTTGTGGTTGCCGAAGAAGTGCGCGTTGATGTGGATGTTGGCGTCGGAGAGGATGCAGAAGCTTGTGGCCGTGGAAGTAGAAGGTGTTGCTGTCGCCGTCGAGCTGGACGAGGACGGTGTTGACGGCGTCAGTGCGCGTGACCGACAGCCCCGGTAGGGTCCTGGACAGCCACCGTGCGTCCCTGACCGCGGCGACGTCGACGGGCTCGCCGTCGAGGGGCGACTACGACGTGGTCCTCGTCCTCGTCCCACCGCACAAATCACAAAAAATACAGAAGGTAATAACCAAGATCAGATGTCGTCATCCTCGTCGAGTCCTACTGGAACGCCGTCGTCTAGATTTTGGAAGACGGGAACTCAGGCGTCGGTGTCTCGGTGATCTGTGCTGGTGATCGCGTGGTGAACCGGTGATCGGCGCTACGTCTCTCGCAGTCTCGCATCTCGCCAGAAGTTCGGAATCGCGACTCGCGATAGCTACGTGCGCACATGTGCGGATGTTGATAGCTCGGCTCCTTGCCTCCTGAAAAGAAAGAGGCCAACAACTTTTTGCTGATGGGACGCTGCATCTTCTCATTAATCCAAAATCCTAATGGACTATAACTAAAGGGTATGAGTTATTATATACCTGGGCTTGGCCCTCATCCCGCGAGGGCCCTCGGCTGTTGCGCCTCTGCCTGCCCCTTAGGGCCGGCACTGGTCGCGCCTCAGCTCCGGGTTGTGGTTGCCGATGAAGTGCGCGTTGATGTGGAGGTTGGCGTCGGAGAGGATGCAGAAGCTTGTGCCCCGTCAAAAGCGGGTCGCCGCAGGAAGTGTCGGGGAAGAAGTCACACGCTAAATATGTGTACAACATGGAGTGTGTGTGTGTAAAATCCTAGATGCTTATTCATCTATAAATAATAAAATAATGATGATAATATTTTTATGGTTCTTCCATGTAATAATAACAATGTTAAAACAACATATGAACCTAGGCAGCATTTCCTTTTAACTAATAGTAATCCCTGTCTAATTTGTTTGTATAACGTACATCCGGCCCAATATGTGTGGAAGGCTTCGATTGAAAGCCCAATTGCATCGTCCTAGTTTCAACCCACGAAACTGTCTCCATTTGAAGCAGGCCAGCGAATCCAATCTCAGCATTGTTTGTGTAAGATATTTTTTTTAAAATTTTTAATTGCACTATTTTTTCATATAAAAATATTTTGATACATCTTTGAAATTATATTTTTTTTAATTCTTGTATATTTTTTTAATATTTCTAGTACGATTTCCCTCCATGAACATTCACTAATCCGATTTACCTCCCTGTGACGTGGCACCACATCAGCAAAACTGCCAATTAAACCGGCCAGGTTGCAAAAACAAATGTTTTTAGAAGTTAAAAGGGGGTCAAAGTAACCGATGGATGGAAAATCCAATGGCCCAATAAAACAAAAAAACAAATGACTAGAAAAAATATGACGTGCAGGGAGTGGAACTCAGCATGTTCCAAAACAATTCTATCCTGCATGGACCAACCACCATGTTTCTTACGCGCTCTATTCAGATTTGGTACGCATTCCTGCAGCTGAAGGAACAAGTTGAAGTTGTATACCCTCTCCGTTCCACAGTCTGAAAATATTGTACCATGTTCCCGTAGCACGTTCCCTACATTCCGAGAACTTAGTTGCTAACCGTCAAACAAAGGGTTTTGTAAATGAGGAAAGCAAATCGGACGACCGCAAAAGTTGAGGAGTCAAAAGGACGTTTTGCTTTGTGTAACGTCCATTCAACCAAATATGTGTGAAGATTGAAAACCCAATTGCATCGTACCAGTTTCAAATCACGGAACTGTCCATTTGAACCAGGCCGGCGATTCCAATCATAGAAAACGGCCATGGTGGCTGTGATAGATGAGAACACTGTGAAGCGCGCAAACAAGGCATGGTCTCCGACTCAGTCTATCTCTTCCTCTGCTAGCTGCTGTAAAAAATTTTGTATTCCTATTCCGTTTCAGTTCAGATTTTAGAAAATAGAAAGTTTGTGCGTGTGAGATCTGAGCACATGTAACATATTGACATTGCTTGGTGGATTTTCAGATTGCAGATCTGGGATTGATAATACATAATAGTAGCAAGGTGTTTTCTATTAATTCACTAGAAACTGTGGAAAATGAAACCCTACAGAAATTTAATTTGAAAATTATACAAAACCACGGCTTCGGAAAATGAAACCTAAGAATGTTCTACTAGCTCTAGGCTTTGGTGTACTCTTGGTCCACCCCTGTCCGTCTACCGACGTAGATTTCCATTAGACACAAGGAATTGCTCGTTACCTAGTGACTGTGTTGTTCGTCAAATGGCAATTGCGGAAACGCCATCTGACTGGACCATGATGCTTAACAATTCTAACTGGTTAATTGTTGGTGTTGACCCAAGTATCTCTTATTTCCTACGACTAAAAAGACTAAAAGTAAGACTATTTTTTGTGCGACTTTTTTTTTTGTCGCTCCTCCCTTCCGGCCATACGATACCCCGTGCGATAGAAAAAGAAACTGCCATCCCTGCGATCCCCGCCTGCTTTGAAGAAAACAAATCGATCACCAGAGGCCACATGCATAGAAGGAAACAATAATCATACATGGAAGAAAACAATTGGCAAAGATCAAGCAAGACAACTCCCTTCCGGCCATGCGATACCCCGCGCGATAGAAAAAGAAATTGCCATCCCTGCGATCCCCGCCTGCTTTCAAGTAAACAAATCGATCACCTGAGGCCACATGCATGGAAGGAAACAATAATCATGCATGGAAGGAAACAATTGGCAAAGATCAAGCAAGACGACTCAATGAGGTTGGCCCTTAATTTTAGTGTTTCCAGCATGCAGACCTGAAATTAAAAAGTGGCTGCTCCTTGAGAACATCAATGGTGTCAAATAAAAGAT